TGCTGATCGTACAAGAAAGTGCAGAGAAAAATCAGCAGGGGAGGCAGGCAGTACTCTGCATCACCTCAAGGGGGCGTCTGAAGGTCAAAATTATATTTGTGCTGCACTCATCTCTGTACAGTCGTCAAAGCACGCTCTTTCTATCAAATAAAAAGTTCTAAGAGAATAAACTAAAAAAGAATGTGAATGTCAGTGGTCCACTGTAGGGGGCGCGCTGATATTAGGACGTTTGTATAACGGAAATAGGAATACGTTGTACGATCCTTATTTCCGGATCCGGCGCATGAGACTCAGGCACATCCGCTTCTCAAGGGCACGAATGCGCCTCGTTATCCAATCAGGACGTGCAGGACGCTTGTGACGTTTTTTTCACCGGAAATGAAACTTTTGGACAGAGTGTTGTGAAATGTTTACAGGGCGTCGGGGCAGAAAAGAGCAAATACTACGCAGTGAATGACCCACGACGCCATCTTTAAACCGGTAAGTCTGTTTTACTGTGAGTGCAATTGAGTTTTTTTCGCTAACTTTAAAACTTTAGAAAACTGTTTTTAATGTTCGTCTTGGGTTTAGATCGTGGTCAAAGTAATGGCGGTGTACCAGCCGAGCGCAGTGGTTCTTCAGTGAGGAGCCGATTCAACGTCACTGTTAAAGGTATTAGGCCGTAAGGTGAACACGGTTATCGTTTCATGTCACTGTCTGGGAACTACACGATCTCAACTTCATAAAAAAGAACGAGTTACGTTAAACTTACAGCAAAAAGTTCGTCGCAAAAAATCCTGCCTTTTTTTTTATCATCGATGCATTTTATAAAGAATTAGCTTCTTCGGGGCCCAATAAGATTTTTGGTGCGCGAGCAGCTGATTGATGTCAACACTTCCGGCAACAGCGGGGGCCTGAAGACGAGACGGCAGAGGAAACCAAAGAGAAAAACAAGAGAGAGAGAGAGAGAGAACAGAGTTTTCTACCCCGTGTAACCACCACTACAGCTGCTTTATTGTGATAAACCGATGCTGTCCAAGTAGTAGCGTCGTATAAACATAACAATATTGATTACACCACTCAATACATGTTGTTCTTCAAACAAGGCTGTAACAGATATGTCTGTGTTTGACCGCAGTACTGAGGTGTGAAGTTCAGTTACTGTGGAAACTGCATCAGTGACAATTCTGCAACAATGATGAAAGAGCTGCAGAGGAAGTGCTTTAACTGTTGGAGTTAAATGTCAACAGAATTGATTCTCTACGTCTGAAACGACTCAGGATTTCATTTAAAAACTTTTAATCATTTTTTAATGAAACCTGCACCTCATCATAAATTTTCATTTTCAAACGTACACAGTCAGAAGAAACGAGTCGTGTTTCAATAACAGAATATTAAAAAAAACATATTTCACACCTACAGATATAAAGAAAATATTTAACATCGTGTTTGTGGTCCAGAGGTCTAACCAATTCCAGGATTCCAGGATTTCAGTGTAGATTTATTTCGTACCTGTCAGAAGTCTTTTCGGTCTCTTTCCCGGCCTGATGTAGTTCCTGCAGAGCCGCTCGTCTCATTAACAGACCTGTAGAGCACGAACACACAGAACCGTCAACTCTGCATTAGACAGAACAGGTGTAGAAGCTGAAGTTCACCCCGTGATCACACCTTGAATCGTCTGCACTCGTCTGTGAGCGAACGCCAGCCTCTGGGTCAAAGTGCTGAGTCGTGTTTGAGCGGCGTCCACTTCCGCCACTTTGCCTTCAAACGCCAGCCTGAATCTGTGAGGCATGGACCAAATTATTTTTAATAGAACACTTGGAGACAAAGAAAAAAAACCGTTTGGACTTTAGCTCCTTTTATCTGAATCACCTGTGCACCGCTTCTGTCAGCATTTTCCCCTCGGCCTCTGATTTCTCACAGCGTAACTGCAGCTGAGAATTTTCTTTGTGCGCCTGAGCCAAGTCTCGTTTCATTGTCTGTTAGTGAGAAACACACATCCAGGAGAACGATTAGGACGATCGTACACTGACACACAGTCTTCAGAGGAGCTGTGTGACCGGCTGCTGGTCTTTAGACCCTCACTGCTCCGAGGATCCAGCAACGCTTTCACACAGTCAGCATCTTCTGCTCGGGTGAAAGTGTTTATCACTTTCCTAAGCAGACACAAATTTATTGTGCATCATCAAAAATTCAGACAGCCACGTAAATCCCATCAGGAGCTCAGGAACTAACCTCCTTCTCCACTCTCTCCAGGTCCAGCTCAGCTATCCTGTCATCCACGGTGTGTTGGAGCACGGCGGCCCGGTGCTGCTCCTGCTGGAGCTGCTGCTCCAGGGATGTAAACTGGAACATTCAGACACAGCTTCAGACCCACTGGACACGGCTGTGGAACTGTAGTCATGAACAAGAGGTTGGTTTTTGTTTTTTTACCTTTGAAAGAAGTTTGTCTTTTTCTCTTCTCAGTTCAACGTCCTTTGAACGAAGCTGAACACACAACTTAAAGACTTTCTCTCTCCAGAGCTTCAGCAGAAGAAGGCCTTCAGATCCAGGCTTCAAACGTGGCTCTGTCAGGGTCTTTTGGAGCACACACACACACACACACACACACAAATATGGCCCCTATTTTAGAAGAACAATTTTTGTGCAGCTATTGTTCCATTGTGTTGTTGAGACACTTTTTTTCCACAGAGTTCCATTATTTCTGGTTAAATAAAAGCTCACCCACCTTCTTCACCAGTCTCTCTTCTTGGAGGGAGAGGATTTCATTCACAGAATTGAGCCTGATGGTCAAGAGTTCAGCCGTCATCTGCAGATCTGCTTTCTCTGAGTTCAGTCTCTGTGAGACAGACAAACATCAGACCAACAGACCTGGACACAGAACAATCTACACTGTCTCCTCCACTCAGTGACAGCTTTTTAAAGTCTTTCCTATGCAAACATTCAATGGCGGCTGATGGCGATCAATAGGGTTAAAAATGTCTCCACCTCCACGGCTCGGTTTAATTGCTCCTTCTCTTGTCTCTCTGGGGCGAGCTGGCCGATGTAATTCCTGAGGCCGTGCAGTGTTGCTGATTGTGCTTCGAACGCCTGTCCCATTTGGCTGAAATATAAACAAACAATAACCTGAAGTGGACTGAAAATGACTCGGCCGGTTTAAAGGCTCCTTCTTTAGCTCTAATGTGGCACCTGCACTGCTCCCTCAGTTTGTCTCTCTCTGCAGACACCTGCATCACGGAGCTCCTCAGCTGCAGCACCTCTGAGGTCGCCGACCGGAGTCTGTCCTGCAGCTCGCCGTGTGTCGTCCGTGCAGCGTCCAGCTCTGCGGCGTGGGAGGAATTCAACTGCAGCAGCTGACAAATAAATGGACGGACAAACAATGAACATTTGGAGACACA